GCCACCCAGGTGCCCCAAGATTTCATTTTTTAATGGCTGAGTAATATTCCATTGTATATATACACCACATCTTCTTTATCCATCCATGTTGATGGACATCTGGGCTCTTTCTATATTTTGGCTCTTGTGGACCTTGCTGCTATAAACACTGGGGTACAGGTGCCCCTTCGAATCACTATGAGAGTATTATGCTAAATGAAATAAATCAATCAGAGAAAGAAACACTGTATGATTTCACTCATATGTGGAATTTAAAAAAATTTTTTTTAAAGATTTTATTTATTTATTTGCCAGAGAGAGAGAGAGCACAGGCAGGCCGAGTGGCAGCAGAGGCAGAGGAGAAGCAGGCTCCCCGCCAAGCAAGGAGCCCGATGTGGGACTCCATCCCGGAACGCTGGGATCATGACCTGAGCCGAAGGCAGCTGCTTAATCAAGTGAGCCACCCAGGCGTCCCATATGTGGAATTTTAAAAAAGATTTTATGTACTATAGGGGCGCCTGGGTGGCTCAGTGCGTTAAGCCTCTGCCTTTGGCTCAGGTCATGACCTTGGGGTCCTGGGATCAAGCCCAGTATCGGGCTTTCTGCTCAGCAGGGAACCTGCTTCTCCCCCCTCTCTCTGCCTGCCTCTCTGCCTACTTGTGATCTCTGTCTGTCAAATAAATAAATAAAATCTTTAAGAAAAAGATTTTATGTACTATTATTATTATTTTTTATTTGTCAGAGAAAGCGAGCGAGCACAAGCTGGGGGAATGGCAGGCAGAGGGAGAAGCAGACTCCCCGGTGAGCAAAGAGTGGGATGCAGGATTCCATCCCAGGACCCTGGGATCATGACCAGAGCTGAAGGCAGATGCTTAATGACTGAGCCACCCATGCGCCGCATATGTGGAATTTAAGAAACAAAAGAGATGAACATAGGGGAAGGGAGGGAAAAAGAAAATAAGACGAAATCAGAGGGGAAGACAAACTATATGACACTCTTAACTCTAGGAAACTAAGCGTTTCTGGAAAGGAGGTGGCCAGGGAGATGGGGTAAATGGGTAATGGGCATTAAGGGGGGGCACTAGATGGACTGAGCACTGGGTGTTGTATGCAATTGATGAGTCATCGAACTCTACCTCTGAAACCAATAATACACTGGATGTTAACTGATTTTAAACAAAATAAAAATAAAGGGGAGCCTGGGTGGCTCAGTTGGTTAAGTGACTGTCTTAGACTCAGGTCGTAATCTCAAAGTCCTTGGATGGAACCCCACCTCGGGATCGAACCCTACCTCCACCCTCCCTCCTCAGAGGGGGGTGGGGGGTCCTGCTTCTCCCTCTTCTCCTCCCCCCCCACTTGCGCTCTCTCTTTCAAATACATAAATAAAATCTTAAAAAAAGAAAACTAACTAAAAATAAAAATAAAGAGGGGGAGCCCGCGGGGAAGGGCTCGCGGCTGGCTTCACAGAGGGGGTATGTTTAGCGAGCGGGACCCCAGATCTCCATCCTGGCCTAGAGCCTTCCCTCCCCACGTGCATGGGCAGCTTCAGCCTGTTCTTGACTCCTGGCTTACTGGGCCCTTGCTCACTTGCAGGAGGTAAGCAGGGGGCCACTGGTCTGTCACTCCTGCTCTCTTGTGCTCTCCCTGGGGCCCGGTGGCCATCAGTTCAGCCAGTGTGGGAAACAAGATTAGCCAAGGAAACCCCAGGCAACAAATCGGCAGTTGGGCTCCTCTGGACTTCTCCTGGCTTCCAGCCTATGGTCTCTATTCTTTTCTACTTGTCTTTCTTCATTGGGGGGGGATCCTTGAGGAGGGGGGAACTCTCCCTCCCTCCCCCAACCCCTCTATCAGCCAAGCTCTTTTTTTCTTTCTTTCTTTATTTTTACACTTGGTTGAAACTATTTGAATTTCTTAATGGCTTTTGTTTCAAGGAAGGAGGTGTCAGGCCTCTAAAACAGCAGGTGGTTGGTGGGGGTAGGGGGACTGAGTTGAGAACGCAGGTCCAGCCCAGATGGGTTAAGAGCTTGATCTCTTGAGTAGGAGCCACACTGCCTAATTTGAAATCCTGGCTCAGCCACAGCTCAGCCCTCTGATTTGGGGCAAGCTACTTAGGTTCTTTCTGGGTCACAGTCTGTAAAATGGGTACTATAATAACAGGCCCCTCCATATAGGATTGTTGTGGGGCTAAGATAATATAGGTTTAAAATGTACTCAGTAAAAATAAATAGACAGCCCTTAGTACCATGCCTGGCCTAAGTAAGCACTCCATACAAGTCAGCACCAATATTATTAAGATGATGATTGCCATTATTACTAATTAGGACTAAGCAACATCCTGCTCCTGGTGGATTGTGAGTTCTCACTAGGAGGAAGGAAAGATGCTGCAAACACTTAAACCTTGTGAATCACCCTACTGACGACACTCTCCCTTCAGCTCCTGCTCTCTCCTCTGTGAGGCTGCCCTGGGGATTGGTGGGAAGGGAAGGATTCCTTGGATAGGTCATGTCTATCCTGTGAAGATGAGTCACGGGGTGGGGAGGGGGTCTCTGGGCTTCCCCATTTCCTCCTAATGGGGTGAGAGGGTTATTGGCTCCCTGGAGACACGAGAGGGGAGGGGAACCTGTTAATGATCACACTCGGACAGAGGTTACCCTGAAGATAAGCAGCTGCAGTATTTCTCGAGGACCACTCTTTACTGATCGATTTCACTGAGACCTCTGAGGCTGGTATCCTATTTTGCAAGTAGAGGACTGAGGTTCAGAGCCTTTTCCGAGGTCTTTATGAGAGAAACAACTATCTGATGAGTTTAGATTCAAAGCTTGTGCTCATTACCACTACACTACTGTGTCCTACACTCAAGGCCACCTTCATGGGCATGGGACCTGTGCACACCACCCTGCTTAGAAGGGTCCCAAGCTCAGTTTAATGCTCTGTTGTCACCATCTTCAAATTCTCGATAAATATGAACAAGTGACCCCACATTTTCCTTTTGCACCAGGCCCTGCAAATTACATAGCTGGTCCTGCCTACCTTCTTTTGTAGAGAGGATGTCTTCTTTGCAAAGAAAAAGAAACTGAGGTACAGAGAAGAAGATATGACCGGTACAAAGTCATGTAGCAAGTTGGTAGCAGAACTAGAACCTGGTCTCCTGCCTCCCTGTCCAGTGGAATTCTCTGGAAGAACTCATATGCCCAACTGTGCCCTGGATGGGAGAAATTTCAGAAAGGGACACTGGCTGGGGGGGTAAGGTAGGAATGGGTTTCCATCCACCACATCACTTCTCCCATGGGGCCCTCCTGGGACCAAATTGTCTACCTGTTACCTCTTGACCTGCCCACCCTTGGTTCTTGGGGCCAGGCCTTTCTGAAGGGCTGGGCAAAGCCATGAGCAGGACAGTGACTCAATTCTCTAGACTGGGTTGGAGGGGCAAAGGGACCTGGATAGGGATGGAATGGAAGCAGAGGTGGCCGTAGAGTAACACTTAGAAAGAGGATTCTCTGGGTTTTGACCCGATTCTGTCTCTTGCCCTGAGACCCAGGGAGACTGACATCCTGTTACTTGAGCTGGAGGGGTGGACATGGGTGTTCAGGCATCTGTGGCCTCTGGTTTGTGTAGAATCCTGCTGGAGGCATGCCTCTCTGTATGCTTGTGTGTGCATGGTGTGTGTTGTGGTGTGATAGGAATACAGATTGAGTAGAGAGGAGAAAACATCTCTCTGCCTTCATTCACTTTTGACTTTCACAGATATTGCAGATTTGGGGAATAGAGCCCCAGAAATACAAATGTCCTTAGGATGCTTACAGTCTAGTGAGCAAGACTGACAATACATCAAATAATCACACAGATACAAACATAATGTGTTTTCTGGTGCCTGTTCTCTTCCTCCGTGGAGCAATGAATAGTTTGAAATAATAGGGTTGTTGGCATGCTCTTTGGTGAGATGGATGTGAACCCTATACCCATCCCAGCTGATGCCACAGCAAACCTTTGCATTTTGGAGGCATTTGGATGGTGGCTGGGAATGAGATTGACCTTGGTGCTCCAAATAACTCTCTTGTGGATGGCTGAACTTGTATTGAGGGTTTTTCTCTAGGATTAAGTACTATTCTTTTTCTGAGACTCTACTTAAAATTCAAATCCCCAGGAATGGGTGGGTGGGATGGGCTCACTGAGTTCATAACTTGGCAGTGCTGTGTCCTGAGACAGAGGGGCCCAAGGGCCCTGAATACCAAGAGATGCCCCAACAGGTACCACAAAGGGAGCTGGAGGACCACCAGACCATCTCCATCACACCTCTGCTGACTCAGTCCAGCTCTGCCTTCAGAAGTGGGAGCCAAAGAGAGGTAGAGGGAGAGTAAGGCCCATTCAAAACCCAAACCCAGAACCCCAGCCAGCCTCACTCTGGTAGCTGAAAAAGCAAGAAGCTCCAAGTCCCCATTACCTGCGGGGCCCTGCTGTATTGGATATGTCTCCTCCTTATGGGTTCCTTATGCGTGTCTGTGTTGTCCACAGGTCTTGATAAGAACTTTCAAGGTTCTTGAAATGCACTCAACTAGCCCCCCCTCCCACCCCACCACCTGAGACCCTACAGTGCCCCTATCAGCACCCCAGCCCAGAGGCCAAATTTGGCATTGTATTTAGGGTCTGCAAGGTACAACGTTCAACCTGGTCGCCAGACAGAGGCCCTGGAGTGAGGCAGAGCCAGTTCTCCCTGGCGGCTGGAGCACTGCCCTGGGCGTGGCCGGGCTGCCCGTCTGGTCCCCTCGTACAAGAATCTGCATGCTTCCTTCCTTGGTTGTTTCCTTCCTCCTGGTTCCTCCCTCGCCAGCCTACCTGGAGGCAGGTAATAAAGCAGGAGGAGGGAGATGGATGGATGGGAAGGGTGGAGAGCCACGTGGTGCCATAAAGCCCAACTAGAGAGGGCCCGTCTGGGGAGTGTCCAGCCTGCGGGAGTCAACGCTCAGAAGGTGGACTGTCAGCCCCGTAAGCCAGAGCCGGGGCAGCAAGGCCTGGGAAAGGCCATGCACCGAGGCGGGCCAGGGCCAGGCCTCAGAGGCCTCAAGGCGGCCGAGAGCTCCTCTGAGGACTTGGGAGGCTCTTGCCTGGAGGTCGGGAGGGGTTTTGGGGTGCTAAGGGAGAACTGCGAGGCCGAGGAGGAGATGGCGGGTGGCAGGACACGCAACCGGCCGGTGCGCTCCAAGGCGCGGCGCATGGCGGCCAACGTGCGGGAGCGCAAACGCATCCTGGACTACAACGAGGCCTTCAACGCGCTCCGCCGGGCGCTGCGCCACGACCTGGGCGGCAAGAGGCTCTCCAAGATCGCCACCCTGCGCAGGGCCATCCACCGCATCGCGGCGCTCTCCCTGGTCCTGCGCGCCAGCCCCGCGCCCTTCTGGCCCTGCGGGCATCTGGAGTGCCACGGCCAGGCCGCTCGCGCCGGGAGCAGCGGGGATGCGGGCTCTAGCCCGCCGCCGCCGACCGCCCCGCCGTCCGCGGGCCCCTTCGCGCCGCGCTGCGCCTCGTGCTCCCCGCACCTGTCCCCCGGACTGCCCCGGGCGGGGGCCGAGGCTCAGGGCTCGGCTCAGGCGTCCACGGGAAGCTGGCGCCGAGGTCCCGGGGCTCCCTTCGCCTGGCCTCGGGGGCACCTGCGTGCGGGCCCCGGGCTGGGCTTCCAGCACTGCTGATCGGCCCCGCAGAGACCCGGTGCGCCTGGAGGCAGACCGGCCAGGGAACAGCCAACGGCAGGATGGCTACAGGAGGGAAGACTGCTGAAAATGTCCTGGACCGAGAAAAACTGAAGGGCTGAGGCCTGAGAGAGAGAGGGGAGGCAGCCTTGCCAGTTGGGAGGGAACCAGAGACCAGGGCTGCACTTCCCAGCACCCCTCTTTGCCACCCTGATCCCAGCCGGGGATGGTGGCTCTGGGAAAGGAGCAGGACCCTGCTGGGCTCTTTCTTCTGTTTGGACTTGAAGACCTCTTCTTGGAAAGTGAACTTCGCATTCCTGTGCCTCTGAGCCCTATGTTCTCTTGCTGGTTTTGTTTCTTTTTTTGTTTTGTATTGTTTTAGGCGAAAGGGAGCTTTCGGACAGGGGGACTTGTATGTGGGGAGTGTGGGTGACACCCAGTGTCCTCTGGTGACAATGTGGCATCCACATCCCTGCCTGCGGCGGTCCCCCAAGTCCGTGATGTAAGAGAAGCAACGGAAGGAACCAAATAAAAATGGAAAAGCTAACATCTCTGTCTGCTAATGGGTGTCCCCCTGGGCCCTATGGCCCAGGGTGGCAGGAAGACCTGAGGTCTGGGAGCTCACCCTGGAATGTCAGGCCCAGGGCCTGATGCCCACAGGTAGGTATGTACCTGGGGCATTGATCCATGGCAAGACCCCAGGTGTGTCTGGACACCGTGAGGAGCACTGTGGGAGAGACAACATTATTTGAAGAGGGGGAGTGGCTCCAAGAGACTAGGGATACAGTCTGTCTCATCTCTGGATGGGACACCCCACTGAGCTGCTGTCTTAGGGGATGTGGGGTCTGGGCTGGTCTCTGGGAAAGGAAGCCTAGGGCAGACCAGGGATAGGAGGCCAGTAAGTCCTGCCTGCACCCTGATCCTGGGTGCCTGGAGCTCCCAGGGAAAAAGGGTCCAGGGCAGCCAGGGCCTCTATGATGAAGGGGCAGACACAGAATCAGGAAAGATTATGGGGAAGAGGTTAAGGGAATGAGATGAGGGCCTCAGGCCAATTCTGTTGAGAAAGTGGGAGGCACAACCAGCCCTCCCTGAGAGGTCTGGAGAGCATTTGCACTGAGCACTCCCGAGCTGATCTCTGGCCTCACTCATGCTGATGGGCTGATCTACAGGCTGCTGCTGGCCACACTGAGAACCCAGATGTGAGGGGAGGCCTGAGGGCTCTCTGGTCTCCTTGGAGAGCAGGACACTTGCCAGCTGGGGGAAGAAAAGGGACCCAGCTCAGAATGGGGAACATCACAGAAGCTGGAGAGATGCATATAGAGACACAGATGAGCAAGGAGTCCTCCAGTCAAAGTGAGGCCATAATTAAAGATATCGTTGCTTTCTGCAAGCAAGACATTGGCTGGCAAACTTGGCGTCCTGTCCTCCTGTCCCCAGCCCATAGGTGTTAGGGTTCCCAATTCCACAGGGCAGCCGTCTGCAGCACAGATCCCCAGGAAGGTTCTGATTCTGGGCAGAGGAATCACAGGGTTCAACCAGGAACAGAATATGGGAATCTGGCCCCAGGCCTTCCCACTGAGCCTTCCATCTATCTGTGGGGAGGCAGTGCCACAGTCTAATAGTGGAAAGGAAAGAGCCAGACCATCCTGGGGTCCAACCTCCGCCCAGCCCCTCACTTCATGCGCAACCCATGGCATCTCTCAGCCTCTCTAGACCTCTAGTCCCTCACCGCTGACACAGGGTTAACATTCATTCAGAATGTACGGTTTCTGGCAAGAGGTGTTCTGTAACAGAAGGTGTTACTGTTTGTATATTATTATAATCTTATGACCAGTTTGGACAGTGCTTCCACCTCGCTTCAGCTCCAGGTTTTCATGCCCTGGAAACATAGTAAAATGACCAGCAAGTCCTGCTTTCTTAAGTTCCAGGACAGAAAGAGGTGAGTGTTCTGGCTCGCGGGCACGCTGAGCTCAGGCATGGTGAGGGCGCCCCCTGCAGGTGGAATCTCACACGTGCAGCAGATGTGTGAGGTCGCAGGGAGGGACGTGAAAGTACTTCTCAGTCTCTCCACTTTCCAGCTGAGTGGCCTAGGGCAAATGACTTAAGGGCTTTGAGCCTTGGTGTTCCGCTCTGTATAACGGACTAAAATAAGCACTTACATCATAGGCTGTTGTGCAGACTACATGAGAGAATGTATTTCAAGCACTTAGCATAGTGCCTGGCCCTGGAAGCACTCACTGAGTGGAAGCTATTAAGACATATTCTATTCACAAGGTTGTTACAAAGAGAGAATGCCTGGGAAGGTGTTTTATAAACTCAAGTCCACAACACTTTAGTTACTGTCTCATCAGGACTACATGTTTGAGTGCACACGTGTGTGTGTTTCCATGCTGTTAGGTGTTTGCCTAGTATTTAAAGAGGGTTTTTTTTTTTAAGACTATTTATTTGAGGGTGAATGAGAGACAGAGAGAGAAAGAGCATGTGCACAAGTAGGGGGAAGGGCAGAGGGAGACAGAGAAACACTCCCTGCTGAGCAAGGAGCCCGACATGGGGCTCGATCCCAGGACCCTGGGATCATGACCTGAGCCAAAGGCAGATGCTTAACCAACTGAACCACCCAAGCATCCCTCAAAGGGTTTTTTTTCTTGTTTTTTTTTTTGTTGTTTGTTTGTCATAAACATTTTCTGACATCCACACATTATGTGACTGCTTATACAGACATGTGGACATGTGAGTATTTGTGTGTGCATATGTGTATGTGCTGACCTAACAGGTTCTCCCTGCCTCTCCCTGACGCATTAGGGTCTCCTGGGCCAGAGAGACACATTTGACAGAGAGACACAGCAAGAGAGGGAACAGAAGCAGGGGGAATGGGAGAAGCAGGCTTCCTGCTGAGCAGAGAGCCAGATGTGGGCCTCAAACCCAGGACTCCGGGATCATGACCTGAGCCGAAGGCAGACGCTTAATGACTGAGCCACTCAGGTGCCCCAAATAAATAAATCTTAAAAAAAAAAAAAAGATACAAGGACTGGTATACCTAAAGAGAGAAATCCTGTATCTATAAGGTTGAGAGCAGCCGTCCACTGGAAGAGTCTTGAAGGAAAGGGGGCAGAGAAGAATGACAGACACTGGCAGCAGCCCCATAGCTCATGACGGGCTCCAATACACAAGGTCTCTTGGATGCTCTTAGGAAGTCTGCGCCTTCCAGGCCATTCCTTTATCCTCGTTGCAGTACCTTGTCTGTCTAGCAATGAAGGAGACACACCAGCAAAAATAGGTAACAACCATCAGACTGATGTCACCAGAGGTGTGGAGAAAAGGGCACATTTATAGATTGCTAGTTGTCCTGCGTCTCTGTTCCTTTTCTGGTAGAAAAAAATGGGCAAAGTCACAATAAAAAGACTCCAAGGGAGTCATCCAAAACCGAAAACCCTGTTTGCGAAAAGGCAGCCCCAGAGGCACGGCACAGGGAGAGATTTGTAATCATACGATTGTCCAACCATTGAGGCTTGGCAAAGCGAACTCTGGTGTTCTAATAGAGTGAAAATCGTGAGTTAGCAGAGCAGATTGCAAAATGGTCTGTGCCCACGATTCTAACTGGAGACAGGCATGTAGGTACATGAACATACCCTAAGAGAATTTGGAGGGACGCAAACAGAGTTAGTATCTATTAAGTTCTTCATAATTGCCCTTTCAAGGGGAAAGATTTGTCTCCTCAGAACACCTTCCAAAGATTTTATTTTCTTTCTTTCTTTCTTTCTTTCTTTCTTTCTTTCTTTCTTTCTTTCTTTCTTTCTTTCTTTGACAGAGATCACAAGTAGGCAGAGCGACAGGCAGAGCAAGAGGGAGAAGCAGGCTTCCTGCCGAGCAGAGAGCCCGATGTGGAGCTCGATTCCAGGACCCTGAGTTCATGACCTGAGCCGAAGGCAGATGCCCAACTGACTGAGCCACCCAGATGTCCCACATCAAGTTTTTCTTACAGTGTGTGTGTTGTGGGGGGGCGCTGTGGGCACACACGTGTGCTCACACAGATCCCAGATGCTCCTGGCGTGGGGTGAGCTGAGCCCAGGGCAGACAGAGGTAGGAATTAGTGTCCATGTGGACACACTGGGCATGTGGTTTCTGTCTGCATCTTCCTCTGGCTCGGCCAGCCAGCTGTAATTGGGCCAGATCCTGGACGAGGGAGCCAGGGGGTACACCTGCGTCACCCCGGACCTCACAGCCACACCAGGAAAGTGGGGGAGGGAAGGAAGTGACTTTCTTCAGCAGCCAGGCCAGGCAGCAGTGGAACAGAAAGGTCAGTCCATCTGTCTAGCTGCAGGGGCTCACAGCTCAAATCCCCTCAGGCAGGCAGGCCTCGTGGGGGTGGAGCTGGAGGAGCCCCATGTCCCCTTCTGAAGGCTGCTCTGCAGAAACCGGTCCCAGAGTCCCCGAATCTTCATGTTACAAGTCTGAAGCTCTGTGTCTATGGGAAACGGATTGCAGCCCAAACCCATTTTGGATGATGAGTATGGCCTATGGGCCTCCGTGGAAGACCCTAGTTGGGAGTAGGGGGCTTGCGGAGGCGGCCACTGCAGGCTGCAGACCCAGCAGCTCGCTAGGCTGGGCTTCCCAGCCTGGGAGCCCCAACCTGAGGCACCTCCCGGCCTCTCCCCTTGGAGGAGGGTGTAGGGGGTGTGGGGGAGCAGGCAACCCCGCCTCTGGTCATTCCCCTCCTCACTACCAGGCCACTAGATGGCACCGTGAACCCAGCAGCACACAGTGAGGGGGCAAGCCTGGCCCGCCCCCACCCCTGAGAGCCAGCCCACCCTGCAACCTCACAGCCACGAGCCACCCTGGGGACTTCTTGGCTTTTTTTTTTTCTTCCTCTTAGTGTTTTTATTAAGTCATATAAGTCATGTAAATCATGTAAGACCCCTTTATGTTGGGTTCATTCTGTTCGAGGCCAGCACTGCCCAATAAAAATATAATACAACCCATGTTTTAAATTTTTAATTTTCTAAAGAGTTATTTTTTTAAAATTTTATTTATTTATTTGACAGAAAGAGAGATCACAAGTAGGCAGAGAGGCAGGCAGGGGAGGGGGAGCAGGCTCCCCGCTGAGCAGAGAGCCCGATGTGGGGCTCGATCCCAGGACCCTGGGATCATGACCTGAGCCTAAGGCAGAGGCGTTAACCCACTGAGCCACCCAGGCACCCCTAATTTTTAATTTTCTAGTTGGCATATTTTTAAAAGGCCAAAAGACGGAGGTGACATTCATTTTAATCCTGTTTTATTCAGCTCAGTGTAACAACAATATTATCACTTTAATATGTAATCAATGTACTCAGTATTCATGAGACATTTTAGGTTCCTTTTTGAACTAGGTATTTGAAACCCAGTATGTTCTATACTTAACAGCACGTTTCAGTTGGAACCAGCTATATTTCGGCGGCTCAAGAGCCACCTTTGGGCCAGAGGCTATGGAATCTTTGGGCTGGGCAGCTGTAGGCCCCATGTGGGGGCCCAGCGTCAGCTTCCAGCTGTAACCCAGAATTCTGTCCAAGCCGGAAACTGACTTGGAGACTAGGGGTCCCAGGCACCCAACTTCCCACCCTCTGCAGGAGGTCTCATGTTTAAAAAGACATTAGCACATTTCCAGAAGTTCCTGGTCGAGGAAGCCCAGCTCACTCTCCTGCCCCACCCCTGGCCTGGGGGAGGAAGAGCTTCCTTTAAGAACCTAGAAGAGGAGGAAGTTCTCTTTCTCTCTCTCTCTCTTTCCAGGCAAACAGCAACAATCTCACTGCCTACCCCGGAGCCTTGCATTTTGCAAACAACAATGGGTTTCCTTTATGAAGCAAAAAATTCTTAATTTTCATATACTCAGATTTACCAAACTTGACAATGTGTGCTAAAGCCACACAGTATATTCCAAATTTATGAGCCTCTGGAGCCTTTTCAGCTCCCCAGACTCCCCCTGAGCCCCTAGCAGGTGGCTCTTCTGTGCCCTATTCTCCCCTCTCTCAGCTGGTCATATCCCTCATCCCCCAAGTCCCTCCCCCCCCCCACCTGGACACAGCCCTTGCTGGAAGCAGCATTTCAGAGCCCAGCTTGGCACACAAACCAAAGCTATTTCTTCCCACTGCAGTGGTTCCTCTTCCTCCAAACCGGCTGCAGGACCAGGACAAGGGACTGATGTCTGCTTGAGAGGAGTGTTCTTCCGTTTCCGGCCTCACATTTGGGATATCAGAGGATCTGAACCCCACAACCTCTGAGACCCCATCCTCCTTCTGCCTCTCCACTCCCCAACCTGCATGACCGTAGGGCCTTAGAGTCTTTCCTCTTACCCTCTTCCACCGCCACCCCCCAACACACACACAGGCACACACACAGGGGTTCCAGGTCACGCTTCCAAAACACTGTAAGGAGAGAGAGATCGGGGACACAGGGGAGATGTGGAGCCTGGAGGAGGAGGCTGAAACAGGGAGAAGACAGGAGAGGGAGTGAAGAGCGACAGGAACAATCAGAGAGGACTGACGACCAGGACTGAGGTCCTTTAGACCAGTGAGCTCCTGAACAGGAGTATCTTTGCTGCTTTTTAAAAGCACTCCAGAGGGGCACCTGGGTGGCTCAGTAGGTTAAGCATCTGCCTTCAGCTCAGGTCATGATCGAGCCCCACACTGAGCCTGGCATCTCTGCTCAGTGGGGAGCCTGTTTCTCCCTCTGCCCCTCCTCCTGCTCATGCTTTCTCTCTCCCTCTCAAATAAATAAATACAATCTTTAAAAAATAAATAAATAAAAGCACCCCAGAAAAGCTCAGATGGGCATGAGATAGACCCACACTTCCTTCCTAACACCCCTTGGTGAGGTGTTCAGAGACCCACTGAGGCAGGATCCTTCCTTGGTGCTTAGTCTGCCCTTTCCTCCTGGAGCAGGGAACCGGGCTGTGGCCTGGACATGTCCGGGTGCCGGAGGTCAGGTGGGATGCCCTAGGGTGGGTCTGGGGCTCAGCATTGCCTGCGAGAGAGGAGGAAGGGCCGAGATAAGAGGAAGTATGACCCGCTCCAGCAAAAGAGAAGCAGAGGGCTGTGTTTCCCAAGACGGTTGAGACACGCCCCTTTGTGACCCACTTGGTCCGTTTCCGATCTGGAGCCCCCAGACCAGAGAGGCGGGCTCTGTGGCTGCAGTGGAAAGGAGAGGCCCACCGAAGTCCCTCTGGGCTCTGGGCTGGGCTGGGCTGGGCTGGGGCTGAGGCAGCACACTGCACGGTCTCAGGGGAGAGGGGAATTGAAAAAGAAAAGCATCTTGGAGGAGGGTGGGGAGGGAGGGAGGCTGTGTGGTGTACTCTCTCTCTCTCTCTCTCTCCTCTCTCCGACTTAGCCTAAGCCTCACCCGGGAGAGGAGTCTCTTTGCTCTGCTCTCTGTCACTTCCCCGCCCATCTGTGCTGTCAGCAGCACCAGCAAAGTTGGCCTCAAACTTGAACAGATCTGAAGGCTCCAGCTTCCCGAAGCTCCGCAGTGGCATCAGGCCGGCTTCAGAGCCCCGGAGAAGCCGACCCTGCCCTCGCTCCCCTGGGGGACACTTCAGCCCCCGACCTGGCGGCCCCCAGTCTGGGCTGAGGAATGGCGTGCTGAGCTCCCTCTGCAGCCGAGCGTCTCAGCCTGAAGCTGGAGCAACCCCAGACCCAAGCCAACATGGCCAACCCGGGGCAGTCTCAGTTTCCCTCAGCCCAGGAGCCAGGCACCACCTCAACCCTGGACCTGCCGGAGATGGAGAAGCTCCTCACGAAGGTGGAAGGCAAGGATGACAAGCCCCTGATGCTGTCCACGTCCCTCTCGGGGGCCCTGGACCTGGAGCAGAATGGCCACGGCCTACCCTTCAAGGTGGTATCGGAGGGGCGCCCCGAAGCCACACTCCCCTGGTCGGCCTCTCGGGCCAGCTCTAGGCGGGCGTCCTCCATTGCCACGGCTTCCTCTGCCCAAGACCAAGAGGTCCCCAAAGATTACCTCATCCTTGCCATCGCCTCCTGCTTCTGCCCCGTGTGGCCTCTCAATCTGATTCCCCTCATCTTTTCCATCATGGTAAGTGTGGCTCTCCGTTCCAGGGCTCAGTGGGTGCCAGACCCTCTGCCTGGGGTGTGCAGAACAGAGAGTTGGGGGCGGGGGCTTGGGGGAATGCTCCCTTTCTCACCAGGCCTACTACCCCTCCTGCTGGAGAGGGGGCCGGGGCCAGGAGACCTTCTGTTCGCTGTCCTCCCTCCTCTCTGTTCTGCGTTGCAGCGACTTTGCACATACCCTCCTGGGGAGGGGACCCCCAGGAACCACCCCGAGCTAAACTCAATGCAGTAGACAGGTGGCCAAGTTAGGGGGCTGGCCTTTTGCTGGGGGTGTCATCCCGAGTGGGGCTGTGGGTCGGTAGAGGTTGGGGCCAGCGTGGGGTCTCAGGACCCCGAGCTCTCTGGAGGGGAGCCAGCTGCCTCCACCCCTCACCCCAGGCCACCTGGGTATTCCAGTGGCCTTTGCCAGAGCTGGTTTCCAAGAGCCGGCCGTGACTTCCCTGCCACGTGCACGGGGCCCTGGGGCCGGGCTCCCCCAAGGCTGCTCCTTCAGGGAGCTGGGGGGGGGGCTGTTTTTGCTGGGGCCCTCTGCGCCTTGGCGCTCACACTGATTCCAGCATCTGTCTTGAGTCTGTTTTTAGATTGGGGAGGTCTGGGCCGTGGGGGTAAAATGTGTGTCAGAGGGCATGGCCGGCCCTGCCTAGGAGCAAGTGGGCTAGTCTTCGCTTCTCATACACTTAAGTGCCTCGTAGGGTTCTGAGTAGACTATCTTAGCTTGTCCCCAAACCAAGCTATTTGGATAGAGCTGCTTATAGAAGATCACCAGAAAATGTCCGTGGATGTTGGCAAGTGACTTGAGTTCCAGGTTCCAGGAAGAGGAGGGAGGGAGGGGGTATGAGAGAGAAAGCCCAGGCAGGCAATGGCTTCCAGAAGGTAAAAAGAAAGCAGTAGTAAACTCCCAGTCCCGGGCTGCTAAGGGCTGAGGGACAGGGCGGGGAGATGCTTTCTGCTTCCCTCTGGAGTGACACCCCTGCTGAGTCATTTATCATCAAGTCCTTAGGACCTGGGGTCACTCCTGCTGCCCGCCCCCTCCACCCAGGGCTGTCTTCTGAGAAAGAGCCTGTTTCTGAGAAAGAGGCCTGGTGTCCAGCTGGGGATGCCTTCCCTGATTCCCCGTCAAATCTAGCTCCACCTGCCAGGATGTCAGGGGACCCCAGTGGCATTCCTGAGACTTGGGGTGGGCACAAGAGCCAGGGCTGAACAGGGGCCGGAGGTGGGGGTTCTTTGAGGCGTTTCCTGTGCTGCCTGCTGCCCTTGGGAGGCAGCTGGGGGCAGAACCAGATCCCAGGGGTGCAGCCGGGACCTCTGGGCAGGGCCAACCTCTTAGTTACAGGGAGAAGCCCCAGGAGGGGAGACAGGCTTCGGGGAGGGAAACCACACAAGGACCCAGGAGAGAAGAGTTGCTGGAATCCATCTCCTTGTTGGGGAGGCAGTGTGCAGGCTGGATAGACGCTGCCTTTGTCAAAGGCGCCTGGGTCCCAGACTGAGACCACCGAGCCCACTCCCAGCACAATTCTACAGCCTTCTCAGTTTCCTGAGTCAGTTCTGAAGGTCACTGGGCCAGGGGTGGGGATCTGGTGCTAGGTCAGAACCAGACACTATCACCAATTCCCAGGAACCTCAAGTCCAGTGGGGAGAAACTTGGAAACAGATCCTATAACACATTGTAAGAAGTGCTCCTGCTAGACCAAATCACAGCATATCCTGGGGCCTCAGGCAAGTCACTGAAATCTCTCTTCTCAGTATTCCCATCTGCAAAATGGGTGTCATATAACACCTACATTAGAGAGCTGTGTGAGGGTAAAGGGAGATGAACCACACAAAGAGCTTGAGGAAAGGGCTCTTACACCATAGCAATAAACTGAATGGTATCTAAGTGTCTCCCTGGCCGGGGGTGGGAAGCCATCATGGCTTTTGGGGGGTTTTCTTAGAGCTTTGACCTATAATACACATTTTATACTATTCAAAGTGTACAATTCAAAGATTTTCACAGATCCACGCTACCATAACCACAGTCTGTTTCAGAACATTTTCTTCACCTCCAGAAAAGCTCCACACCTTTTTTTTTTTTTTTTTAATCACTCCATCTCTCCCTTGATCCCTCTCAGACCTGACAAACCACTAAGCTTTCTATCTGTATGGATTCGTCTCTTCTGGACAGTTCATACCAATGGAATCATACAACGTGTGGTCCTCTGGGACCAGTGGCAAGCTTCTCCTGGCATTTACATCACAAGGTCTGGAGCCAGAGAGAGGTGTGGTCAGGCTTCCATTGTGGTGGAGAGGCTGGTGTGGGGTAAGAGAAAGGATGGAAGGGGCTCCTCTGAGCCTGGCAGCTGGGAGAAGGAACTTTTGCAGGAGCACTAGGTGAGAGATGAAGAGGTCTGGACCAAGACCCTGTCAAAGGGCAGTAAGAGTTTCTGGAAACCCAAGAGTTGTTAACAAAGACCATACATTTATTAATTCAGTCAATCACTCACTTGACTGGCAAGTTGCTTGTTTGGAGGCGACTAAATGGTAGAGAATGATTGGGTGCCCCATTAACGAACACACCTCTTTTACCAATGAGGCGCCATGTTAGGCATTTAGGAAGATGGATGACATGGTGTATTTGACATGGCCTATGGATGCAAGAGTATGGTGATGGAGGGAGGTGGGCAGGGACTCACTCTGGGAATTTAAGTTTTATCCTAGTGGCTCCGGGGAGCCCCTGAAAAATTTTAAGCAGAGGCGTGATGTGGTCTGTTCATATTTTAAAACCAACACCCAACTGCGCTGGGGGAAATGAGCTTGAGTTGGTAGGACTGGGAGCATGGAGACCCCATAGGAGGCTCTTGAAATTCTAGGAGGGCTGATGAAGGTATGGACCAAGCAATGGCTTAGGAAGGAGGGCACTGATGAGAGAATTGTTGAAGTGAAAGTAGCAGCACTTTCTTCACAGTCCTGGTTACCCAGCTCCTGGGGACTGTGGCATTTAAGGGGTGGGCAGAGGGAAGGGGACAGGAAAGAGTTTTGAAAAGATTTCAGGGGGTGGGAGGCAAACTAGAGGAGAGGGGGAGACACCCATGGAGGAGCGAGTTTGAAAGGAGGAGGGATGGTCCAATGCAGTGCAGAGGTCAGATCCAATAAGGAGTGTCCACTGGTTGGGCCATTTACAGACCCCCGGTGACCCTGGTGATGGACAGCATTAGGCAAAAAGGAGAGAGGTGACTGATGACATTCATGAAGAGTGTAGAGATGGGATCTCGAAGAAGGACCTTGTTCCTGGGAGCCTGCAGGGAATGTCATGATGGCAGAAGGAGATAGAAACACTCAAAGGAAAAGGAGCTGGTTCATGCTATATGGGCTCCATGCCACCAGGGATATGGAGGACAAGGCCATTTGCTGAGAAAGAAGGAGCTGGTGACAGAGGAGAGGAGAGGTGACAAGGGACGGAGAGGCTGGAGGGCTCTGCTGAGGCTGCACCCCATGGGTCTGAGTTGTTATCAGCCTGTGTAGTGGTGCATTTTTTTCTCCAGCTATCAGTACAGAGTCACAGATGGGACACTGGCCCACCTGAGGCTGGAGATAGCAGGGTTGCCATGAGGGTAGACCCACCAGCATAGAACGATGCTGGTGAGTGGGGGCAGAGGTGGCACACTCAAGGATCAGGCTGGACTGGGACAGCATGAGGCTGGGAAGTTAGTGATGACCTTGGAGGAGAGGGAGGGGTCACAGGTTGAGGCTCCAAGAAGTCGAAGGACAGCTGCTGTGTGAGAGAGGCATGAGAGAGATGCCAGGGGCTGAGGTTTCAGCAGAGGGATCGTGTGGGGTGGTGGTGAAGTGGAGTACAGTTGTGGAAATGAATTTCCAAAGAGAACCATGAGAAGCCAGGAGATAGGAGCCTAAGGGAGCCCCGTGGTAAGGGCTAATTATTCTCATTTAACACATGAGACAACAGTGACACTACAGCAGTGCCTTGCCCACTGTCACTCAACTGGTAAGAGGCATGTCAGCTGGATGCTGACTCTAGTGTTGTCTCCATGACCCTGCCCTCCATCTACCTCTAGGGACAAGGATGGTGTGTACCTCCCAGGAAAGTCAAACCTTTGGGGCATTTGTGCAGGAAGGGCAGAATCCATTTCCTTCCTTCTTTCTGTTCACTCTCCCCACCTGACCCCCACGACCCCAGCTGTCCTTCTCCACCCCTACTGACTCTGTCAGTAGGAGGCTAATGGGCCAGCAGTGTCCCTCCCACTGTGGCTTAGACAGGGCCTCAACCCGAGGGGCTGGGATCCCAGATATCCAGACCCAGACCTGCTCCGCACAGCAGCCTCCAATGAGCCTCCCAAGGTGGCCAGGTCAGGGCTGCCTTCATCCATTCCACTCCTGGGTCAGGCTGAGAAATGGCCATATTCCCAATGCCAGCAAGGTCTCCTGTCCACCAAAGGAGCTGGACCCCAGGATTTTATCTGACAACAGTGCTTAAAGCAGCATCAGATAGACCTGTGTGTGTGGGTCCCAGGCCGTGTGACCATGTCCAAGTCCCTCAACCCCCTTCTGTAGCCTCAGTTGTCTCATCTGTAAAATAGGTGTCATAAGACCATCGACCCCATAAATCTGTTGGGAGGATTAACTGGGTTAAAATGTGTGAAAACACCCAGCACAGAGTCTGCCACATAGAAAAGGGCAGTGGTTACTGTTATCATTAACACCAAACAAAACTTTTTAGTCTCAGAGCAAAGGGTAGATCCCCAGTGGCCAACAAATTCTGACTTTAGCCAGTCTGGGGGAGACTGGAGTGCCAGCCTTCATGCCACTACTGGGGGGAGGAGCAGCCCAGTCTGTGGTTTTGGTGGAAGCCTCAGAGAAACCCCTTCTCTGTTGATTCCTCCTGCCGTATGCAGGAGTGCGGAAGAGGTTCAGAGTGGCTCAACACTCCCTTTCTCGGGCATTCTGGGTGACCTGGTTATTTAACTGACCTGT